AATTCCTTTATTAATTAATCAGTTTTTTTAGACTTAATCACATGTCAAATAAACGGTTAGGAAAAACACAGAGTATGCACAAGCAAAGAATGCACAAGTAGTCAAGTAGTCACAATATGATGCAATGAGTTTGCAACCTAACCATGGCTCTAGTTCTCTAAAGTTCGGGATATGGGTTAGTCAATAGAGGGTCCATGGTTAATTGTCCGGATGCACCGCGCAGAAGCCTAACCGTGAAGGGTTGGCACGAGTGGATGGGACACCGCGAATTTAGAAAAACTCGCTTCCATGGTTTGGTGAATTAAACATTCTCAGATGTACCCTTTGTTGCTCAGAGCGTTCAATCAGGTAGATGGAGCATGAATTCCCAGAGGGTTATGTCCATATGTAGAACACATATGGGTTTCAAAAAAGTGAGAAAAACTCAATCAGGAAGTAGGATCGAGCAAATAGTGCTAAAAACTGGTCAAAATTAGAACGCATATTTCTGGCTCGGTATTGGAAGAACCTAGCGCCAACAAACAGAGGCCGGCACCACAATTTGGCATTAGCGCCTGCCAACAGAAGCTGTCGCCTGGCGCTAAAGTCAAATAAGTGCCGCTAGACTTTGTTTCCTGACGCTAGTTCCTACATGCCTCAGCAGCTATCTGTGCTTGATAAAATTTTCCAGTTTCGCGCAGCATTATTTCGATCCTAGTTGTGAAAGATATTCCTCAAATTTCCTACGTGTAAAAATCCTATGTTTTAACTCATTACGGATGGTCTTTCCAATGAGATCTTTTTTATGCATATGTTTCAAAATTACACACATGAAATACTTAGAACTTTTCGAGTCTCATCCACTCATTTTAAATCATTATATTGCCGAAATAAATTTAAGGAATTAAAATAGAAATCCTCCCTAGTGGAGTCGCCAAAAACTGGAGGGAATATTTCAAGCATTACCCCTAGCTTGAACCCCACTGTGATCATACACTAAAGTACGGTGGCATCCAAAGGGAAAGAAGATAGAGCAAAAGTCGCCAACAAGTTTTAGGAACTTGTAAACCGTTCACGAGGTGAAGGTTACACCCCTTAACGATCCAAGAGATCGTCAACTCCAATAGGTCTGGAACCATGACTGGTAGTTCGGGGATGATGGTACAAATCCAACCTAAAAGAGATTAAATCTGCCCTAATAATAGGCCTCTACTTTATTTAGATCGTATTCATGTGCGCTTTTTGACTAACATGCAATCAATAGGTTTAACCTAAACGTGTTTATCTATGTTGGTTGAATATTAATGCACAAATAAATCTATTATTGGCGATCACTTGAATTATAATCATATTAACCCTAAACAAGATTATTAATTATCTTATTAAGCGTGATTACAAGTACAAATTCCCTTTAAACATGCATAAAAGGTGTGATCAAGCAATAACAATAAATATAACCCTTATAAAAATTAAAATAATCATGTTAAAGCATAATAATAATAGCAAGATCCTAGGCATGATACTAACAAGATTAATAACAAACCCTAGCATGTCACTAAGCAATAAAAATCAAATATAAAGCCCTAACATGATACTAACGATTATAAATATTAGGAAAAGAACATAAAAGACATCATACTTTTGATCATACTTGATATTAAAGTTACCCTAGACATGATATTAGGAAGATCAAAATACCCTAACATAACACTAGGAATCATAACAACCTAGACATGATTTCTATATCATAATAACAATAAAAACCATTAAAGCACTTACTTGGATGCCTCGTACCTCTTTCTTAAATCAAAATACACACGTTAGTAATTTCAAGATAAATATAATCAAACAATTAAATTAAACGATTTAAATAGAGATTTGGGACCAAACCCTCAGAAATTAAAAACCTTTCACGTCTAGGGCGAAGGCAACTTCGAACTTGGCTAGGCGTGTCTTAGTCTTGTGAGTGCGGAATTTTGTATGAAGGGGTTGGTTTAGAAGAGAAAGAGAGAAAAGCTTCTAGCTTTAAGAGAGAAGAGAATTAGAGAAATTAAGAAATTGATGATTGTAGATGAGAATCGGTTCTTGAAAACGGAGTTTTTAGGAGGCTATTTATAGAGAAAATCAGCCAAAAAGATAGAAAATCGAACTAGAGTTCTGACGTGAAAAAACGGAGTTAGCGCTAGACGCTATATTAGCGCCAGACACTAATGGCGCTAATGCTGGTGTTAGGCGCTAATCAAGTTTTTGACGCGTTTTCTAAAATCAGATAAAATTTAACCGTACAGGAGGATAAAATTGTATTTTCCTCAAAAACATTCTTTTATTCTAATTAAAGCTCTAAATAGTCAACAAAAGTCAATTTATCAATGCTAATTGAATTAGGAATGAAAAGAATCTTCTAGAAGAATCTAAAAGACTAAAACCATTCATAATTGCATTAGGAATGATAAATCCATATTAGGCCCTCCCCTAGATCATTGGGCCGCATATAAGGTTCAAACCGGGCCTAGTTTAGTAATCTTATCATAACTTCCTCATTATTCATCGGAATTGGGCTTATAATATATCGTTGGAAAGGTCTTTTTAAGCCCCATCCAACTACACTACTATTGGACCCATATCATGGACCAACCAAACTGGATTGGCTGTTTCCTTAAAATAGGTTTTCAAAAACAGAGAGAAAAGAAAAGAAATTAAAACTATTCGCAGCACTTGACTTTCCACACTTTCACTTCATTCGATTATGATTCGACGTGAAAGGTACTCATCACCGGGCTTGGTTTTGGGGAGACACAAATGGGTATCTACAAGTTCCCTCACTGATGAGCAACACAATCCATACCGTGAAATGGTCATTGATGCTTTTAGGAATAACCATGAAACATTGGGTCATACAGAGACTAGTGACGGTTTTGAGGAAGAACCTAATGATCAAGCTAAAGAGTTTTTTTGACCTTTTACGGGCTTCCTAGAAACCACTGTATGAGGGGAGCTCCATGTCTGTGTTGGAAATGGCTTCTAGAATTGTATCTATGAAGTGTGAATACAATTTGCCTCATCGGTGCGTTGATGCATTTGCTTCTTTACTAAATGAGGTATTACATAACAACAACATGGGTAAGACATTTTATGATACAAAGAAGATTCTTAAAGGTTTGGAGCTTCTCCATGAGAAAATTCATGTATGCCCGAAAGGTTGCATGTTATTTTGGAGAGCTGATGCTCAATTGGACAAGTGTAGAGTGTGTCAAAGCAACAGATACAAGAAAACTTCACAAGGGTCTTTGCTACCGCTGAAACCCCTCACTTATTTCTTAATCACTCCTAGGTTGCAAAGGTTGTATGCAACCAAGAATGTTGCCGAAGAAATGACTTGGCACTCTAAAAATCCTCGAATCCAAGGCATCATGGCACATCCTAGTGATAGTGAAGCTTGGAAGCACTTGGACACATCATTTCCCGAGTTTTGATCAGAACCTCGTAATGTGCGACTCGGATTGTGTACCGATGGGTTTGCTCCTCAAGGTAAGTTTGGTGGTCAATATTTTTGTTGGCCGTTGATTTTAACCCCTTACAACTTGCCTCTTTCTATGTGCATGAAAAAGCCATTCATGTTCTTGTCCTTGCTTATTTCGGGTTCTAAGAATCCAAAAGGGAATTTGGATGTTTACATGCAACCTCTAGTCGAGAATTTGAAGAAATTATGGGATGTTGGTGCAACAACTTATGACATTTCTAGAAAGTAGAATTTTAATCTGCGTGCTGCCATTCTGTGGACAATAAGTGATTTTCTGGCCTATGGTATGCTTTCTGGTTAGGCTACAGCCGGGAAAAAGGCTTGCCCTTACTGTATGGACAAGGCTAAAACGTTTTGGCTTGACCATGGGGGTAAAGTCTCGTGGTTTGATTGTCATAGACAATTCCTTTCTGTTGATCACCCATTTCGTAACAACAAAGTCGCCTTCTGTAGAAACAAGGTGGAGAAGAGTCATCCACCACACATCTTGTCCGACGAGGAGTTGTGGCAGTGTGTTAAAGAAATGCCAAAAGCTACGGATGGCCCCAAAGCTCTTGAAAGACTTAAAAAGTCGAAAAAGAGTTGGTTCAAACAAAGCACTTTATGGGAGCTACCGTATTGGAAGACTCTATTGGTACACCATAACCTAGATGTCATGCATATTGAGAAGAATTTTTTTGACCAACTGTTTCATACTGTTATGGATGAGAAAAAAGACTTGCGACACACCCGCCGCCCGAAAAAATATTGCCAAGTTTTGTAAACGTCCACATCTCCATGTTATGGAGGATGCTCGAGGAAACGAAACTATATCGAAGGCACCATTCTCCCTCGATAGGGCCCAAAAACTGGTACTATGCAATTGGGTCAAAGATTTGAAGTTTCAGGACGATTATGCTTCTGACTTGGCAAGGTGTGTAGACTTACAATCGTGTAAGCTATATGGTATGAAAAGCCACGATTGCTATGTCTTTATAGAGAGATTGTTACCGGTTGCTTTCAAGGAATTGCTCTCTCTTCATGTGTGGAAAGCCAATACTGAGAAGTTTATTCTTTCGTGACTTGTGTTGTTCCACAATCACCTTGACATTGAAAGGTAGGAACACAACATTGCTTAGATATTGTGTAAGCTTGAGAAGATATTTCCTCCATCATTCTTCAATTTCATGGAACATTTACCTGTCCACTTGCCATATGAAGCTCGGTTATGTGGACATGTTCATTACCATTGGATGTATCCGTTTGAAAGGTAATATAAAGTTGCTTAGATAATTTTTTTTACAACAATTAACTACTATAGCCACTTCCATTCCATACATTTGTGATTTAGAGTTTGTTAATATTTTAGGTTTCTTAATCATTTAAAACGCAAAATTGGCAACAAAGCCCGTGTTGAAGGGTCCATTTGCATGGCATACCTTGCCGAAGAGATATCAAACTTTTGTAGCAAGTACTTTCAGGAAGGTGTAGATCCGAAAACTAGGGACCTACCACAAAAAGGTTCATAATGATGTTCAAAGTAACTTGGATGAAAGTGTCCCAAAATGCTTTAGGGTTGATTACGGACGTCCTTCCACCAGAGGTGTTCTTCGGTTCTTGGATGAGGCTGAACTTATACGAGCACACTTGTATGTGTTAGCTAATATTGGAATTTTAGAGCACTACGAGAGGTAATTGTTTAATACATGTGGTTATTATAGTTTTTCTCGGTTAACAAGAATACATAAATTAGCTTTCAATACTCTCACAATGGAATTCAAATTTACGTTGAATTTTAGGGGTTTTGAGGAGTACATTCTACATACTTGACCCACAATGCGTAAATATGATGTGTGGGTTCATCATGAAGTTGAGTTCCTCGAATGGTTTAGGATGAAAGTGAGTACTGCTCCACTATCAAATTCTAAGTATGAAAATTGTATTGATTCATGAAGTTTCCAGTACTAAAATATCCATGGCTAAGCAGGTGATTCAAGATAAGCCGGATGATGACGTATTGTTTGCTTTAGCAATGGGTCCATCAAAACGAGTGCGCACTTGGAACCAGTACTATGTTAACGGATACAAATTCCAGACTCATGCACATGGAATGCATAAATCAACCCAGAATTATGATGTTTGGGTGTCAAATGAGGAAGGTGGAGATTTTTTTTTGTATCTTACAGGATGTCATTGAGCTTGAGTTCACTAGTGTGACCACAGTTTATAAAAGTGTTTTGTCCAAGTGCAATTGGATGGACCCGACAAGGGGCATGAATGTTGATCATTACAAACTATTAGAAGTCAATCACACAAAGAAATACCCCAAGTACGATCCTTTTGTGCTATCATACTAGGCAAAGCAGGTGTACTTTGCGCCGTACCCTAGTTTGAAAAAAGATCGTGCTCAATGGTGCGCTGTGCTTAAGACTAAGGCAAGGTCTACTGTTGATGCTCCAGTAGATGACGAGGTTTTACAAGAAACACATGTTGAGGCACCAACCTTGAGTGCTCCGGATGATATTCCTGGGTACGAGGACGGCGATGATTCTGATGAAGAAGATATCCCATACATTGAACCCCCTTTGGAGGAGTCAAACTTTGAGGACTCAACCGATAGTAATGATGCTGAAGACGCTATTTTTTGGGATGATGATACTGATGAGGACGATTATAGTGATGAAGGGGATGCATGAGAACCTCTAGAGTTTGTGTAATCGGATAGTTTTATATGTAATAATTTTCTACGGTTTTCTATCCTAATTTTTCTGTTTTATTTATCAGAATTGAATCTCCTGCTTTTTGCTTCATGACATTATTGCTAACATGATATCAATTTCGATTTTAGGCAAGAATTAGATGGTATATATTCTTATTCTAGGGTTCATGTAGTATCAATTTTTGCGTTTTTGGTTTGAATTTTTTACTTGCGTGTTCAATTGCAATTTTATTTTTCTCTTTTGTTGATTTCTGCTGCATTTGATAGTTTATATTGCTATAATTGCTGGTTATTTTGTGTTTTCCCACCTAAATTGCTGCTGTTGCCATTGCTTCTTGAAGGGGTTGTTGGAGTTTCTGATTTTTTACTAAAGGGTCCAAGACGTCAGCTTTGTTATATGCCCAATGAATTTTAGAACTAGAATTCACTAGGGGGTTTAAAAATTTGGGAAATAAATCTGAAATTTTGGCTAATTTTAGTAAAAATTTGGGGGTTGGATCCCCAAATGTAAATTTCTAATGCTGAGGATCACCAATATAAATTTCTGATGCTACTTGATTTATTTGGTCTCATATGATTTTTTTTTGCCCAGGTTCTTATGACATTAGGTAAACGACGAGTTTTGGTACGGGGGGTCACTGGCTATAGGAAGGAACTTTTCCCATCGTCACAAACGCAAAACAGCCAGGGTAGTCATGTTCCAGAGACACCAATAGATGACAGTCATGTTTCAGAGACACCGATACCAAAGACCCCAGTAGATGACTCTGAGACATAGTATTTTGGATCCCCTCTAATTAATGCTAGTACACCAGCTACCCAGAATACGTCTACACCTGTTGTTGAGCCTGGTGAGAGTTCTTTCCAAGGGCTGAGACGGACTTTACACCCTGACGGGTTATGGTAAGCATGTAATTAAGTTAAAAATTGAAATTATGATACATGAATATTTATTAGTATTGACCGGTTTTTATGCCTTTATTCCCAGGTTCCATAACCATAAAGTGTCCAATGCAATCACAGACATCATCCAGGCTCACTTTCGCAAACCTTGGATTAACTACAAGAAGGTCGACAATGGCACTAGGACTCATTGGTGGAACCAGTTTAAGGTTTTTTTTTTTTTTCCAGTTTAAGGTATATTTTTTTTTTTTTCAATTTTCATAAACATTTAATTTCTCAAACATTTTTCTGCCCTTTTGCTAGGATCGGTTCATTTGGCCTCCAGACTTGCAGAGTGTTGTTGAAATAGAGTACAAGAAGAAGGCTGCAAAACATTTGAGCGACTTGTCCTACAATTATAGTGTTAGAAATCCAGAACGTCCATTCTGGATGGGAGAAACTGTCTTTGCAGAATTATTGGCTCTTCGGAAGGATGATAAGTTCTTAAAGAAGTCTGAACAAGCTAAAAAGAACTGAAGAGGCGGTACCCTATCTAATCCTATTGAACCGTCACACTTCCAGGTATTTCGTCGGTTCAGCATGCTAAGAAAATAGTGCCTCATAATAATACGTGAATCCTTTTTAATATAATATTTAGTAGCTGTCTAATACAATTCCCTACTAATCTATCGTCTTTGAATGCAAACAGGCAAAGGATCTGGTGGAGTTCTCCCGTCCGCCCCTGAGGTGTTCTTAAAGACCCATTTCAAGGACGTTCCCGGTAAAGGAAAAGTGCCAGCCAATAAGAGGGCTAGAGAGATCGCAATAATATCCAATAATTGTTATTCAATTTATTATCTGAATTATATGCATAATAATAACCATTTTGAGTAAGTTTTATGCAACTTTAACTAGAATTAGTAGAAATGTTAGAAATGTGATCTAAATGTGGTTATTTCCAGTGTTACAAACTTCAGTGCATGCATAAAACAGATGGTAAAACATATTGTAGACCTTTGTTTTGCTATTGTTGGAATGTGTACTCAGTCTCAAACATTAATAGTTGGTCATAGGCTAGTAACTAATAGGCGTACACCTCAGTTGAGTTGTCTTAGGAGAGGAACTAACATATCTCAGGCTGCGACATTTGATATTTGATGATTTAACCAGAAGCAGACTATATAAGTTTATGATGTTGATAAAAGACCTCTTACTTGTCGGGACTGATTTTACATTCACTATCTTACATAGATGTCCTTAATAAACTGGTACTATTCTAGGTAGAAAAGAACTTTGACTTGAGTGATTTTGCACCTGAAATTCTTGCACGAAGCTTGACTAATTACTTGCTGCTTCATTAAGCATGAGTTTTTAACCTATTTTCCCTTAAAAGCAGCTGCTTGTCTCCCTCTACTTTATGAATTTCAAGCCTTGTGCGTATGCTACTTTTTCCTTTTCGTTGCCTTCAATTGCTATGTTATATACCAAGATTTCCGACTCTAAGATTAACACAAAGATCAGTAATTTAAGGCTAAAAGCTTGAGTAATTAATTGCTAATGATTTTGGAATACAAGCTAAGAGTTATAACTATAGCTTTAGCCTAAAATCTTGTTTTATTTTTTATTTTTATTTGTCTTCATCCTAAAATAATGTCATAGCTTGAACGTTCAACAATGGTGGATGATATTCATAATTTTATACGATTAATAATAGTTAAACACAAAGTAATACGATTAATCCATACATTAATTCCTAAATCATTAAATAAATAATATAAAATCATAAAATTAATTCTTAACATTTAGCAATGTCGTATTAATCTTGAAATCATATGACCGATCAAGTGTTAACACAAAATCATATTATAAAAAGATATTTTTTAAACAATGACACAAATAAATAAATTGATCATAATTTATGAAATCAAACTAAATATAAGAATTTAATTAATTTGTACCAAAAGAATGAATGTTGTAAGTTGATCCTAAAGGTTTTAGATGATATGGGTTGAAGATGAATATTTATTATTTGGAAGATATTTTTATTCAATTTTATAAAAGAAAAAAAAAACAAGCTAGCGTCTGAACAAATTAATTTAACCAAACAAGACTTAATGACTTGATGACTAGACTTGATGACTGTTTTTTTAGGTGTCTATTTGAACGCCTAGGATTAGTCAATTTACAAATAAACAGTTGAGATTTAATTTCTCATTGTAGTCGACCATAGTCTTCCGTAGTGGTCCGTAGTCGACGACTACACTAGAATTTTTAATTAGTACACCGGCTACTCTTTCCCCTGGCGGTTGTGTGGTTGGTTTCAGTACTTCTTTGATTGATTGACTTGGGAATGTTTGATACTTTAAAGAGTATGGAATGTTCCTAAGTCAATAAATCACAGTTGTGATTTCCCCAAACCAAATACACAACCGTCCACAAAACCATTAAGTAGCCTTTTAGCCAACAAGGGAATAAGCTGGATCATAGCCTTATTCCTTTTTCTAGGGTATTCGCAATCTAGTAAAAACCATCTTTAAGGGAGCCAGGCGGGAACTTGCCGCCTGGTAGTTGATGATGTAGGGAACAAATTGTCCGCCTGTCTGATGGTCCCTCAGACAACTTAAAGGTCGTCTAGGGTACTTGCAATCCATTGCACCTGGCTCGTCTGCCCCATTGGGGTGACTAGTACAATTTTGTAGAATAGTCTAACGCAGAACTTCAGTTATCAACCGGCTGATGTCACTTGACATCCGGTTTTAAGCTTATTCATTCTTATAGACTATTTTGGTCAGACAACTATGAAGTTGATCAAGTAGGCCGTTCAATCTTTGCCGTCTGCATAAGCTTGTGAGCAAACGATAGGGTGCCCTCTGCGACAATAACGGAGGGGCGTCGCCGGACGCCATACTTATAAATTTGTGAGCAAACGATAGACATATTTATAAATTTGCATCCAGCCATTGGCCTCAATTTATATATCAAATTAGCCACTAAGTTTTTAACCTAGTTTCATTTATTCAATGTTTAATGGACCGTCTGTGTTTTCAACATACATTATTATATTGTTGCGCATGTATATATACAAAGAAATTAAATTAAATTGGAAACAAAAAGCAACTTTTTCATTGATGGGCATTTTATTTACAAGAATTTACAAGTTTCAGAAGTAGTACTTTTTTAAGTTGTCTACATTCCAAGTTCTAGGCAGCCGCCTACCGTCTAGGGTTTCCAGCCGGTAGGTGCCATTTCTCACTTCTTCATAGATATGGTAGGGTGTAAGGAGGGTGATCCCATCGTAAGGGGTACTCTCCTTAAATGCCCTTGGCCAATTAAAAGCCTAGGACTTTACACTTGTTAGGGTGTAGTAGGATTTGAATTCCCGACTGTTTGGGGGACCTTAGAATTGATTCCATCATCACGCTTTTTTGATAGAAACAAGTAGGAGTCGCCAATGAGTTTTAGGAAAACTCATTAACCTCGTTCATGCTTTTCTTCCATGTGGAGTTCATGGAATAATTAGCACGGATCATAAGTTTACCCATACCCAAATTGGTCTATAAACCAGAAATGAGTTTGGGAGCGAGGGTACTAAGATAACGTTCCTTTTAGAGGGGAATCGTCATCCTAGCCCAAGTACGACCTCTACTAGCTCTTCCTTTTTTACAATTTCATCACCAAACAATATATACGACGCGATACCTAAAACTATGTTAGTTGATTTTATTTACAAACATTAATTCACGTAGGAATTACATCGTAATGTCGTTATTTTATTTAATTAAATTCGTGAAGAGTAAAAGAAAATAAACAAGATTCGCCATGGATTAAGTGATCAACCAACAATTATTTATTTCAATTCTAATTTTTATTTAACGCAAAATACTATGTGAAATTGATTAATTAATTATTTTAAAGGTTATCAAACAACACTAATTAATTAATTAATTAATTAATTAATTAATGTCCTTTTAAACAATAAAATAAAGGTGATTTAACTAAGTGCTTGGGAATTTACCACTTCTCTTTGCTAGATCTCCGTTTAGAACACTTATGGACTCCTTCTTGTTGGGGAACCTCCACCGTAGTAATAAGATATCGAAAGGGTGAGTGTTTAGGACAAGAGGGATAGGTCGCACAATTTCACAAGTATTTCGCCAGAGTATAGGTTGATTTCTATCTGTTTAAGCCTCGGTTTAAGCTCGTATTTATAGGGAATGATTAGGTTTAGGGTTTCGAGCATTCTGCCGCAGCAGGTGTCGCGCGCAACAGATAGAGTTGCGCGCGGTATCCCAGCGCAAGTTATAGAGTTGCGCTGCTATGTGCAGCGCAACTAATTGTCTTGCGCGCCGCTTTATGGTAAGATTCAATTTTATATTTTCCGTATAATTCCGAATAATTCTGAATCTTCTGCAGCGCAACTCTGAAAGTTGCGTTGGGTGTCTCGCGCAACTGAATTAGTTGCGCGTGGCAACCCAGCGCGACTTTATGAGATGCGCGCGGCTTTTTCTGCGGCAGCACTAAATTTTAACCTAGGCGCTCCTAAATCCATCATTATTAGGGTTTAAGCACAAGCTTAAGCCTAATTATGATCGGGTGTTAATTGGACCTTTGTTTTGGTTTTTTCTTTAATCTGAGCTAGTCTTTTGTGTTTTGTGGCTTAACCAGTTATCCATAAGTATTCTTTACTTCGATCAACACGAAGATGGTTTTATTTATCGTCATTGCACTTCCTGTCGGGACAGGAGGCCAAAAGTAGATGTCTACAGTTAGCCCCTACTTTGATCGAGTCTAGAATAGACGATGATCAAAATAGTCAAGGAAATAAATTCGAGGCTCATTTTGCAAAGTTCTCTAAGGATAGAGAATCTTTCGGTAATATTTAAGGATGTCGAAACAATCCTTGGTTCGCTAAGTGTTTGAAACAAGTAGCTATTAAGGCTAGAAAAAGTTCTTACTAGTCTTAACACACTAAAGAATCTATATTGATCCTTTGCAATTGTTGAACGCTCTTAGAAGTAAAAGTATTCTGGGTGATGTCAGGTCATGAGAAGAGATCGGTTTTAAAAGGATAAAAGGGGAGGACTTCCTCTCAATCCTGTCATTGTTGATCTAAAGTCCCTCGATATGTCATTGAAAATTTAGCCTGACTTTAACAAAGGAAAAGATGAAAAATGGGGTTTTCGGTATTCGAGCCGGGAGTCCATAAGATAGAAATACATGTCACAGGACTGGAGGCATATATCCAAATTCAGTGAGAGGGAAGAAAGTTATAAACTCTCTCATCAATTTTGTCCACAAGATGAGTACAAATGTCTCAGGACTGGGGGCACGTGACTACATAGGTGTGACATTGTCTCGTCGCTTCTTTATACAGGGGGTGGATTCGACACCCTAAGTGTCCGGTTAGTTAGTAAGCGCACTAACTACCGTATCCATTCAAGAAGTGCCTGTTCCTGAAGGTTCGGTGCGCCTGTTGACTCGTTTAGCTAACGCCTACAATAATTCTCTACCTTTTAGTCCCGAGAGGTAGATCTCGCAAAGCTTGGGATGAGTGAAATTTTACGTAACACCTACGCCGTACAATTTTGCGCCGTACAATACACCATTTGCATTTTTACGCTGCATGAAAACGCCTTCCTTTTTGCTTTGGAAGTGAAAAAAGAAGAAAACCCGGACATTTGTAACGTCAGAATAGTAAAATGACAAACATGTCTATGGGTGCTTTTACGTCAAGCACCACCACGGAACTTCTTAAGGCACTCTAACAAAAAACGTTCAAAACTTATGCCCAGGGAAGGCATAAAGCACGGTGTGCATGCAATATGATGCAAAAACTAACAAAAAAAGAAAATAAACTACAATGTGCAAAGCAATTAAAAAGATTTTGATAATTTGCGCACCATTACGTCTAATAACAAGCAAAAAATCGTTCATAAAATGATCAAGCGGATCAAAATCAAAATCCCGGTTTTTTAGTGACCAGTATCCGCGCGCAACTCAGAAGGT